TCGGTGGTGAACTCACAGAGGGATCTTTTCCTTTGTGTTTTCATGTATTTTCTGCAATGCACTTGTACAATCAAGAAAAGTAAATTAATATTGAATTATGTTGCATACCTGAAACTAAAATAATGCTGTACGTCAATTATACCTCAATAAAAGAGAGAGAGAGAGAAAAGCAATCAAATAAAAGCTCTGAGAGCTGAGAGGAGCTACCATCTGGATCTGGGCTGCTGGGGGGGGGGGGGTATGGCCTAGAAGTGGGATGTGAGTGGGGCCTTCAGTGATGGCAGACTTTGAAGAACTGGGGAGCGGAGCCAGGGGAAGCCTTTTTATTTCTTTGGGTTTTTTTTTTTTTTTTTTTTGTAATTTTATTTATTTTTAAAATATATGTCTATTTTTAAAAATATTTTTCTTGATTTCAGAGAGGAAGGGATAGGGAGAGAGATAGAAACATCAATGATGAGAGAGAATCATTGATTGGCTGCATCCTGCACGCACCACAAGCCTGCAACCTGGGCATATGGCCTGACTGGGAATCGAACCGAGACACTCAACCACTGAGCCACACCAGCCGGGCCTGTGTTTTGTTCTGTTTTTTTGTCTGTCTCCTCCCCTAGACTGTGGACTCCTTGAGGGCATGGTCCATGGCCTAGCTTGTTCACTGCTGTATTCCTAACAACTAAAACAAAACAAAAACCTCAAAAAAAACCTGTTGCCTAGTATGTGCTCAATAAATATGGATCTAGCGACTGAATAACCTTGACAGCTCCTCTTAGCCTGGGAGACAAGGATGTTGTCCAGCTGGTACACTGCCAAAAGGGAGGTGCGTGGTTTCCATGACAACAGAAGAGGGCCAGCCAGGCCAGCAGCAGGAGACAGACACAGGAATTGTGAGCTCTGCCTCTTTTCAAGGTGCAGCCTGGACATGGAGAACATTGTGGTGGGCTTTTTCAACAGCTGTTGAGGGGAAAAGGAACTTCATAAATATGGTTAACTCAGTTGATCACTGGTCAGGTGTGACAACTCAGGCAGGTAGTTGGATCTTTGATGGAGGGTGAAAGGCTCTTAGTAGATGGAAAGCCAGAAACTCAGGAAAGTTGGGTTCTAGTCTGGACCCTGCTGTGTGACCTTAGACAAGTTACTTAATCTCTCTGGGCCTCAGCATGTTCATTCATAAAATGGGAGGTTTAACAAGCTCTAAAATCACTTATACAAAGACCTGTGTGGTAGGAATGTAAAATGGTTACAGCTGCTGTTTTCAACAGTTTGATGACTTCTCAAAAAGTTAAACCTAGTATTATCATACAACCCAGCAATTCCACTTGTAGGTATATACCCAAGAGAATTGAAAACAGGTAAACCAATACTTGTACTCGAATATTCATAGCAGCACTATTCACAATAGCCAAAAGGCCATGAATGGATGAATAAAGAGAAGGTGGTACCCATACAATAGAATTCAGCCTTATAAAGAAATGAAGTACTGATACCTCCAAAAAGTTATACAAAGTAAAAGAAGCCAGACTCAAAAGCTCAAATATTGCATGATTCCATTTATATTAAATATCTAGAGCAGATAAACCCTTAGAGACAGAATGCAGACTGGTGGTTGCAGGGGCTGGAGGGAGGATTGGGGAGTGACTGCCAAATGAGTACTCTTTTCGTTTGGGTTAACAAAAACGTTGTGGAACTTGATAGAGGTATTGCTTGCACCATATTGTGAATGTAATATGTGCTACTGAATTACTCCCTAAAATGGTTACATTTTATGTAAATTTCACTTCAATTACAAAAAAAAAAAAAAAATGTCCTTTAAGAATGCCCTGAAGCCTGAAGTTATAGAATGGAATTCTGGGAGCCTAAGAGATGGGCAAGACTGAAGGTCAACTCATGGATGAAGTTGAGAGATCATTACAGTCCTGTACAATTATGCTGCCAAGATGACATGCAGCGGGAATATGAATTTGCAGAACTGGAGTGTGGATTTGTCTCTGGCTGCATCGCATCCTAGGCCATTCAAATTCCCTCAGCCTCAGGCCTCCTCTCTGCAAAATGGGGCTGATGCCTCTCCCCTTTTCCTCAGAGCACTGTGCACCTATCTTCATAGGGTGAACCCTGTGGGGTGAAGCCAGTCACAGCACCTTCTTCTACCAGGGATGGAGCCTGCAACTGGGCATGTGCCCTGACCAGGAATGAACCAACCTTCTGGTGCGCAGGAGGGACGCCTAACCAACTGGGCCACACTGGCCAGGGCTGGCACCCTTTTCTAAGCACAGCAGATTGAGAGCTACTCTTCCTTCCAGGAGGAGCCAGTAAGTAGGCTCAGAAGCCACTGGTAAGGCAGGGGCATGCTCAGGTTAACCGGCTGGATTACTGTCTGGCCTTGGGCAAGTCACTCATTTCCATTTCTTTAGCGGTAGAATGGAAAGAGCTATGTCCAGCTTAGAGAGAGGATGTGCGCTGAGCAATAGGCACTCAATAATGAAATCCCTTTCATCTTTTTCTGTGGTTGCTCCCAGCAGCACTCTGGAACACAAAAAAACTGCCGGTTCCAGAACCCACCCAAGAATCTCCGAGCTCTGGCTCAGGGAAGTTAAGGCTAGCCTGAGGTGACACAGCACGTTTTGGCTTAGAACAAACACAAATAGTCTGGCTCCGGGTCCAGGAATTTTCCTCAAGTTTCTAAGTTTCATTTTTTTTTTTCTCTCCAACAGTCTTTTAGCACCAGCTACGCCCTAGGAAGGTCCTAATTCATCCAGCCCAGAATTAGGTGCGGTGCAAAGACCCTCGAATCCTCACTTCCTGAGACAGGTGCTGCCATAGCCGGTGTACACATTAGGAAAACTGTTTAACCGAGGGGCTCAGAGAGGCCATCTGACCGGCGCCAGACCACCTAACCGGGGAGCGGAGTCTCAAATTCGAACTCGGGTCCTCCCGCGGCGCCACTCGCGGAAGCCCCCAAAGCGCGCGTGGCTTGGCGCAGGGCAGGCTGGCGGCGGTTGGAATCCTGAGTGGAGTTGGAAGCCGGGCCCGCTCATTTGCATGCTAATCCCCAGAATGCTTCCCCTCCCCTCCTCCTCCCCCGCCCCCCCCCCTCCGCTTCTCTTAATGGAAACGCTCAGTTTGGAGTTTGGAACCGTGGAAAGTTTGGAACACACACTTCGCTCCTTCTTTGCAACTGTGGGAACTTCCCGCCCGCACACGCGGTGCCTGCAGCTCAGAGCTCCAAGCCGGGCGGCCCCACGGCGGTCGCGTTTCTCCGGCAGCAAACCTCGGTGTCCAACCCGCGTGCGGCATCCTCCTCGGGCCAACCGGGGACAAAGCGCCCAGGCCTGCCCGCGGGGCCTATGGCCCGAGCGCCCCGGGGATGCTCCGGCCTCAATAGGCCGAAGGGAGCGCCCCAGACCCTCCAGTACCCTCACTTTCCAGGGGACAGTGCTGGGGCGCGCGGATCCCTGCTCCGTCCATCGCCCTGGCGTCTATGTTGTTGCCTCCCTGAGCTGTTGACTCTCCGCTCCCCGGGCACAAGGCTCGGCGTGGGGTTTGGGGGAGAGGCTGGACGATGGCCTCTTCTCCCAGCTCCCGGACGCTCAGCCCCTTCGGGTCGGTCGGTGCGCGGGGTGCAGAAGCGGCTCGGGAGGTTCGGCCTGCCCCCAGCCAGGACCCCGGGCTCTCTTTAGGGTTGGGAGCGGAAAGGCGACTTCTGGGCATTTCGCGCATCAAAGGTGGGCTCTGAAGGGTAGCCGAAGCCCGTTTCCCTTACTGGTGCACATCGAAAGCTAGGGCTGGGGGCCCAGATCTGCACCCCTCAGTCCCCCTTCCCCCACCGGTCCGCACGCAGCCACTTTCGGCGGGGAGGGAGGGGCAGTGGGACCTGGTTTGCTGGCTCGGCGCTTCGTTTGCATTGGTCCGGGGGGGCTGAGATTGCAGCCCCTAGCCCCGCGGGAGGGGTGGGGAGGCGGGGGCCGGACGGGGGCTCAGCTGCGCTAGCATTGGCGGAGCTGGAGAATGGGGGGGGGGGCAGGAAGCGGGGGAGCGGAGCCGCGGGGGGGTTGTATAAATAGGGAAGGGGGACGTGCATCCTCGCTGGGTGAGGGGGGGGCGCTCGGCACAAAGAAAGTGGAAAGTTTGCAGCGCGGGGCGGCCGGTGCCAGGAATCCGGGTGCGCACGTGCAGGGCCGGGGGCGCCGGGGACCCCCCACACCAAGCTCGCCTTTTCTTTTTTTTCCTGCAAGCGAGAAGGGGGGTGTTGTTGGTATCGCCCCCTCCTTCTCCTCCCCCCAGGGGTGAAAGTGCAAGAGGAAGTGCAGCCGCTGCCATCTTTCCTCCGCTCCGAACACACGGAGCCCGGGGCCGCAGCTCGCCGCCGCCTTCGCCGGGCCCGGGGAAGGGCCCACCCTGCCGCCGCCGCCGCCCGCCCGCTCCAGCCTTCGCCGCCGCCTCCGCCCGCCAGGCTTCGGAACCCAGCCCGTGCTGCCGCCCGAGTGCGCGCCCTGCCGCCGCCGCCGCCGCCTTCGCCTTTTGTTTCCTCTGCTCCGGCGCCCCCGCCCCGGCTCGCGCTTTGCAGGGGACGCAGCGCGCGCCCCCAGCGGGCCCGGGAAAAGCCGCGGCGCGCGCGCCTGCGCGGCAGACCCCTCCTCCTCCCCACGCGCGCGCGCCTGTTGGCTGCGCGCCGGCGCCGCCTGGCGGGCGGGAGGGGAGGTGGCAGGCGAGTTTGCAGGAGGGGCGCACCTCTTTGCTCTGTTACCCCCGGAGGTAGACCAAGAAGGGGAGGCGGGCGGGCGGAGAGGAGAGAGGAGCGCGCGATCCAGCAGGGGTAGGGGCCGCTATGTGGGGGGTGGTGCGCCCTGCGGTCTAGACAGTACGATCCGGGCAGGGGGCGTGTGCGCTCGGCGCACCTGCGACGCTACAGAGCCCGGGGCCGGCACGTGTGGGGAGTGTAGACACGTCCGCTGCGCCCCTCTTGTTCCTGCCTAGGGGAAGGGAAAGGGGCGGGCAAGCGCCGCGGCCGGGTGTGTGGGGAGGGGGCGGCGGACATGGAGCGGGTGAACGACGCTTCCTGCGGCCCGTCGGGCTGCTACACCTACCAGGTGAGCAGGCACAGCACCGAGATGTTGCACAACCTGAACCAGCAGCGCAAAAACGGCGGGCGCTTCTGCGACGTGCTCCTGCGGGTGGGAGACGAGAGCTTCCCTGCGCACCGCGCCGTGCTGGCCGCCTGCAGCGAGTACTTTGAGTCGGTGTTCAGCGCCCAGTTGGGCGATGGCGGAACTGCGGACGGGGGTCCCGCTGACGTGGGGGGCGCAGCGGCGGCCCCGGGCGGCGGGGCTGGGGGCAGCCGGGAGCTGGAGATGCACACCATCAGCTCCAAGGTGTTTGGGGACATCCTGGACTTCGCCTACACTTCTCGCATCGTGGTTCGCCTGGAGAGCTTCCCCGAGCTCATGACGGCTGCCAAGTTCCTGCTGATGAGGTCGGTCATTGAGATCTGCCAGGAAGTCATCAAACAGTCCAATGTGCAGATCCTGGTGCCCCCTGCCCGGGCTGACATCATGCTATTTCGTCCCCCTGGGACCTCAGACTTGGGCTTCCCTTTGGACATGACCAACGGGGCAGCCTTGGCAGCCAACAGCAATGGCATTGCAGGCAGCATGCAGCCCGAGGAGGAGGCAGCTCGGGCAGCTGGGGCAGCCATTGCCAGCCAAGCCTCCTTGCCTGTGTTACCTGGGGTGGACCGCTTGCCCATGGTGGCTGGACCCCTGTCCCCCCAACTGCTGACTTCCCCATTCCCCAATGTGGCATCCAGTGCCCCTCCCCTGACTGGCAAACGAGGCCGGGGCCGCCCAAGGAAGGCCAACCTGCTGGACTCAATGTTCGGGTCTCCAGGGGGCCTGAGGGAGGCAGGCATCCTTCCATGTGGCCTGTGCGGGAAGGTGTTCACTGATGCCAACCGGCTCCGGCAGCACGAGGCCCAGCACGGTGTCACCAGCCTCCAGCTGGGCTACATCGACCTTCCTCCTCCCAGGCTGGGTGAGAATGGGCTACCCATCTCGGAGGACCCGGATGGACCCAGAAAGAGGAGCCGGACCAGGAAGCAGGTGGCCTGTGAAATCTGCGGCAAGATCTTCCGTGATGTGTACCATCTCAATCGGCACAAGCTTTCCCACTCGGGGGAGAAGCCCTATTCCTGCCCTGTGTGTGGGCTGAGGTTCAAGAGAAAAGATCGCATGTCCTACCATGTGCGGTCCCACGACGGGTCTGTGGGCAAGCCCTACATCTGCCAGAGCTGTGGGAAAGGCTTCTCCAGGTGAGAAATGGCACCCTCCCCCCATGACCTCTCTATTTCTGACCCGTGGGGTAGCTCCTTGCCAAGATCTGGGAGGGTGGGGGTCACTTGACCTTACAGAGGCCTGCCTGGTTTGGGAGTGTTTTAACGGCCCTGCTTTTGAGATGGTGCGGCCAAGGAGCTGCTTTCTCTTCCCCAGGGAAGTTCTCTGGCACTAGGCATGCCCTACTGTCTCTTCCTTGGGGTCTGGTGGGAAGGGGCCCGGATTCCTCAGGCCACAGCCACTGGGCCTCACCATTCTTCTCCCTGGGCTCCCTTTGTGTTTCCGGCACCAGGCGTGGGGCCCCCTCTGGGGGCGGGAGGCTGGGCTCCTCCTGCGACTTTCCCCGCTTGAATGGCTGCCGGGGGAGACGCTGAAACAGAAACAAGTGTATGTCAGACTCCTGACACTGCTGTGCCACCACCTCCCCCAGCGCACAGCACAGCGCTGGCGACCATAGATCAGTGAACTCCAGCTTTGCCCCGCACAGCCCCCTGGGCACACAGCTTGGCACCCAGAGTCTCTTCCTAACACCGAAATCTTTGATCAGCTCTGATCTGGTGGCTCCCAAGCCTCGCTGACCCCACAGGTCCCCTTTATGATCTCAGGACATAGAGGAAGGGGCAGGATGGCTCTTAGATGCACTTTTTAGTGGTCCTGAGAGGGAACTGAGGACTTGTCTGGGAGCGGAGGGTTGTTTTGTTCCTCCTCTGAAGAGAATATCCAGAATAAAAGGCTGGTTTTAACTTGCCTGGATACTAAGGACCTTGTGTGTGGAACCCAGGGATGGAGAACTCCCTCAAAGGGGCCCCAATCAGGAACCAGTCTTACCGGTCAGGCAACCCCTGCCCACCTGCTCTGGCGGGCATCTGGCTTACCAGCCCAGCTGGGGACTTAAGGCTCCATCCCTTGGCCTCTGGGGACTGAATTCCATCTGGGTGGCATTCATTGGCTGCCACGGCGGGAGAGGCTGGGGGAGGGGAAGACTGAGTTTCTAAGGGGCTTTAGTCTGGACAATGAATCACACATACCCCCTCCCGGAAAGGCTGCAGCAAGGCAGCTTGCCTCATTCTAAAGCCACCTCCTCAGGGTCCTGGAAATCATTGAGCTTCTGTGGGGGAGGGAGGTGGGTAGGCAAGGTCAGAGACAAACACTCACTTCCCTTCCCTCCAGAGAGGCCTGGGCCTGTGGAGCCAGAGCAGGGTAGTGAGGCTGTCTTTGTCATGCTGGGGGGCGGGGGAAGGGGGGAAGGGCGTGCTCTCCATCAGGGTTCGGGCAGGGTTGGGGGGTCTGGCCGGTCTGGCCAAGAGTGCAGCCCCCTTTTCTGAGGTCTGATTTTAAAGTCTGTCTTGGTTCTCTCTCTTCCAGGCCTGATCACTTGAATGGACATATCAAGCAGGTGCACACTTCTGAGCGGCCTCACAAGTGTCAGGTAGGGGTCGGGCCAGGGCAGCGCTGGGCTGCGAGAGAATGCTGCTGTTCCCACAGGCCGGCCACGAGCCAGCTGACGCGCGTGCTGGGCCACTGACTGACCACCGCTTGGCACACCTCCTCCTCTGTCCCTCCACCCTCCGTCTGCTCTTCTTTGTTCTTCCCCTTGGCCCCCTCCCGCCACGGCTGACGGCCCCTCCTTCCTGGTTGTTGGGTCCTGGTTCCCACCCTGTCTCCTGTGTTGCTTAGCTTCCCTTTCCTGGTGTTGGCCAGCTCTGTGGATGGTGGGCCACATGGCACACGTGTTGCCCTGGGGGCACTGGCACCCCACTGGGCCCGGCTTCTGGTTCTCAGCAGTGTACAGAGGCCACATGGGGAGGGGGGTTGGAAAGGGCTCCTGGCGGTCCAGCCAGCAACGCTTCCCCTTGTCTGTCAGGCAGCCCGACCCAAGTTGGAGTCCCTAGAGGTCGGCAAGGGGGGGAGAGGGTGGGCGGTCTGATCTCCAAGCACTGGCACCCGTTTCAGCCTCCTGAGGACTGGAGAGCACGGTGGTTTCCTCTCCTGTGAGTGAGCTCTTTGCGCAGCAGTCGGTAGGGAAGGCCGGGCGAGGTTCTCACCCTCGGTTTGTCTGCTTGAGTAATACCTAGGGGCCCTTGGCACCCAGAAACTTGAGTGTCCTCTCTTGGCCACTGAGCATTCCTGTGTAGATGGAAAACACGCCTCTCTCTTCTTGGTTACCTCCCCTCTCCGGTGCCAAGTCCCCGCCATCTGAGGGGGCTCCGAGTTGTGGGGTGCTTACTGCAACCTCTGGGGGGTACCCGCTTCTCTTCATCCTGTTGGTGGCAAGGAGGGAGGGCTCAGGGAGACCTGCAGTGAGGGGTGGACGTGTGGCAGGCAGGCCAAAGGGCCCCCGGGGCCAGCGCGGATGGTGTTCACATAGCGAGGCGAGGTGGCCTCCCCGGAGGACGCTAACCAGGGTGGGGCTGCTGGGGTCCATCTGTGCCTGGTTGCCTTCTCTCTGTCTCTCATCTTCTCGTCACAGAGCACATTCAGACTCTCCCAGGTAGTGTGCTGAGAGCCTGGCAGAGTAGGAGGAGCCCAGCGGGCAGTGGGGCTGAGCCCGGTGGCCTGGGGGGGTAACCTGCACTCTCTGCCCTTTTTCCAGGTGTGGGTTGGGAGCAGCAGCGGCCTGCCGCCCCTGGAATCTCTTCCTAGCGACCTGCCATCATGGGACTTTGCCCAGCCTGCTTTGTGGAGGTCGTCCCATTCGGTTCCTGACACCGCCTTTTCCCTTTCTCTAAAAAAATCCTTCCCAGCCCTCGAAAACCTGGGCCCAGCACACTCCAGCAACGCTCTCTTCTGCCCAGCCCCTCCGGGATATCTGCGGCAGGGCTGGGCCGCCCCCGAGGGCAGCCGGGCCTTTCCCCAGTGGCCTGTGGGCTAGCCTGGCCTCCCGGAGAGGGTTTTCGGTGGAGGGACCGGGAGCGGCGGTTGCTCTGAGACCCTTGCTTTTGGAGAGGCCAGCGGAGTGGTTCCCACCCACCACGCCTGGCTCCTCCCAGGGTGGCCTGGAGTCTTTCCCAGCTCAGGGACCCCAGATGGGACAGCAAGAAGCTCCTTGGTCCCCACCCACTCAGGCTCAGGTCCCCCTGGAGGTCCCTCCTTGCCTGGGTGATGGTGGAGGTTGGTGCATTCCTGAGAACTAAGCCACTGGCTTCTGTGCTTCCCCTCCGCCTGGCATCACCTCCCCTAAGGCAGGGAGGGGTTTTCTAGAATGGGGCCTGGCCACCCCTCCCCCCACCCTGGGAGTGAATGCCCCACCAGAGGAGATGCTGGTGCCACTCCAGCTGGGTCATCCCCCGCTGCCCTGCGCTTCCCTTCCCCTCAGACAGGTCCTGCTTTCATTTCTGGCTAGTGAATTAGACTTTTGTGTTTTCGAGGTTTATTAGCAGGTCTGCTCAGGAACTAGACTAACCAGTAGCTTTGTATTGGGTCACCCCAGCATATAGCTTTGGGGCTGATAAAGCAGATGTATGTAGACGCCCCCTCTTGGGTCCTGTTGGTGTGCCCTTTAGCCCCCGCGGGCTCCGTGGGGTAACAGGAGTGATGATAAAAGTTTTAATTCTAACATTTGAGGCTTTGTGTGTTTTGTCCTTGGTTTGTGTCATAACACTGACATCATTGTCCCTGGGTGTCCACGCCCTCTCAACCAGCCCTCGGGCAGACCTGCTGGCCCTGCCTCCAGTCCATAGCCAGAACTCCTCTACCGGTGACCCAGCAGGTAAAGGCATGCTGGCTCTCATGTGCGGGGCTGGCCCATCAGGTGTGCCTGGGCTTGGTTAACCAGCAGGGGCATCTGTTTTGCATGGAGTATATTCTAAAAGCCTCAGAGGTGACTATCGCTCTCTGGGAGTTGGTTCTTTGGGCCCCTGGCAAAGCTGGGCATGTACCTCGCAGCCCCTCCTGATGCCACAGAGGACGGAGAGCCAGTTACCAAGGCTGGGCCACAGCTTGAGTGAAAGGGCTAGCCAAATGTCAGGGCATGAACCCTCAGGTTGGCAGTGACACAGAAGTCGCCTCAGGGCTGGGCCTGAGAGTCCTTAACTGGCGGCATCTCTCAGTGCCGTGGGCTAGGACATTTCCCCCTTGGAGCTCAGCCTAAGTGGAGAGGCTAGAGCAGCTGAGAAATCTCCCATTGCTTCCAGTGGCCCCACTTCTCAGGGGCTAGTGGGGGGCTTGGGCTGGAGGGGTAGCTTGTTAGAGAAGGAATGCTAGAGGTGGGAATAAGGGAGCTGACGCCGGGAAGAAGGGCGCCAGCAAGGCCTCTGGTGCCAGGCCTCCATGCATAGCCCATAGCCTTCCCCAGGGCTGTGGAGAGATTGCTTGGGACATCCCCTGAGGCTGGCCAACTTCAAAGCCACCCGAGGGCAGGTGTGATTAGTTCCTGGTACCATTGGGCTCTCTTTCTGAGCTGCTCCACCCTTGGGAAGAACAGCACTGGGAAGTCTGGGATAGGGAGAACCTGGGGGTGTGGGTGGGGAAGTGAGCATGTCTGGGGCTCAGTGTGGAGTGGTGATGAGCAGACGTAACCCAAGCTCAGGTTGGCTGGGCTGGGAGCTGGCATTTGTGCTTAGCAATAGCAGGCTGCCTAAGTACAGGGCAGCCGTTCCAAGCGCCACCGGCAATCAATGGCTCACTGCAGGCTCACTCTTGTCCCATCAGGGTCCCTCTCCTCCCTGTCTCCTGGAAGGGAAATGCCTTTCTCTGGAGTTGCCCCCGCATGGAGGTTCTGGGTGATCCCCTCTTTGATATGTCTCCCCTCAGCCACTGGCATCTGTCCCTCCTCTCCTGGGTCATGTGACCAGCCTCTTTATGTCCTGTGTTCTCTGACCTTCTGGCAGGTGTAGACTCAGACTCACACACTTGCAAGATTCCCCCAGAAAACTTTGGGGACTCGGCCAAGAAGGGTCAACTCTGGCGCAGAAAAGCCAACAATCGCTCCAGTTTGGCTTTGTCACACGGTGAAAGTTTTTGTTGTGCTTTGTGTCTTTTTCCCAGCAGCAGATTTACATTCCTAATGATGTTTGCCCAGGCTGAAGTTAGCCTTCATTCCTGGAGAGATCATCAATGGAGGATGGGTGGGGGGAGCCGGCCTGGTCTGAGATTTTAATTTTGCTTAGCTAATCCTCCAGCTGGATAATCCACTTGTGGATAATTGAGGTTTGGCGGTCCATTATCTTTAGCCAGCAAAGTATGACAAGCAGTGCTTTAAGGGACAGGTCCCAAAAGAAGGCTGGCGAGAGAAACAAGGCATCTCTTTCATATCCGTCTAGTGGCACCCTCTCCCGGGGAACTCGGGAGACAGTCCTGAATGCGCGCTTTCAGCTGCACGTTCTCACACCTGGGCCATGTGTTGTTCCTTTGAGTTCCGAGGCACAGGCCACATGGCCTCTCATCATTGGGTAGGTGACTGGCTGGCAAAGCTGGCTCTTGACTGCGGATAAATCGACAGGTGCGCCCTCCAGAGGGTGTTGACAGCAGCCCTTGCTCTGGTTCACAGGCCGGGGGGCCAGGTGGAGATTCAGTCTCTCTCCCCCCTCACTCTGGCCTATAATTGGGTCTAGCGGTCCCTTAATGAGGCGGGGCCGACCTGTGGCCATGAGACCAAGCACCCATGATGCTTTCTGAGGCACCTAAGTGTTCGCGTTCCCCTGTACAGTCCTGTCACCTCTTCCTGCCAGGGGAGCCCTGGCCACCAAATACACGGTGTTAAAAAGTCTCGGCACCTTTCACTGGCGAGAAGCGACCTCTACTGAGCCTAGAGATGGTGAGGGCACAGGCTCGGGTGACTCACAGGCCAACTGTCCCGTGTCCTCTCAGGGCCTCCGTCTGCCCCGCAGGACATCAGGGAAGACAGGGACCCCGGGGCAGCCGGAGGGATCGGTAGGGTACTGGGCTGGCATGGCAGGGTGTTCAGACCGCTGCTTTCTCTAGTAGCCGAATGTGCTTTGGGCAAATCACTTTCTAAACTCAGCTTCCTCATTTGTCAAACGAATAAACTCAATATATGAAACAAATAAAAGCGGTCTTTTGTTAGTATACATTGTTCTGTTCAGATTTGTAACGTTTACTTAAAAGATAATGAGAACAGCAAGGCCTGTCCTGATACACACAGACACTGGGGATTAGGGTAGCAGCCATGGCATTTGGCCTGCACAGTATCACGTGGGTTTGTTTCTTGCTTTTGGTTGGACAGTAAGGAGACAGATAACTGTACTTGTGCAGTAAGGAAATAGGTGAGTGTATGTGATGACTGCACTGCTCACTTACCTTAAGGATCTCAGGATATGCTTCTGTTAAACAGACACAGTAGGAGCAAGTTAGCAGGGTAGTAGCAGGTCTTCAGTGGGTTAACGTTCGATCTGTAATGCTCTTAAAGGGGCAGGCTGCTTTCTCTTGAAGTTCTACAACAGTAAACATACACAGAGAAATGAGAGACTCGACTAGGACCCCGGGAACACTTCCATAGAATCAAAATAGCCGGAGAGTCACCGGACTGAACTCTCCTGAGGACTTTCCTGACATTCCGTGGCCCCCAAGGCCCGTGCAAGCCCCAGCTGAGGAAAGGGTGCTGGGGGGAGATCAGGGACTGAGGCTGAGTCAGGTTCCAGACACAGGAAATGCCCGGGGCTTGGGCCTGCCCTCCCAGGGTGCGGGTGCTGACCCTTATCACCTGAGTCATCTGCCCCTGGGACCTGGCCATGAGTTGGTGGTCACGGCACAACTTTCTGTGACCGCACTCTTGGGAGGTGATAACACAGCCTACCCCGGAAGGCTACTGTAAGGATGGACCTGGTGAGATAAGTGCCTCTAAAAGACTAAGCGCGGTGCCCGCCTGGCACGGAGTGAGTGCTCGATCAATGTAGGGTAGCATCACCTTCCTTGTTCTTACCAGCACTTCCCCAACTTAACATTTCACAAATGCTCCCAAAGCCTCTGGCCCGCCTTCTCTCTGCTCTTTCTCCTGTTAGCAGCATGGACGCTATCATGTTAGGGGCTGCTTTTTCAATACAGACTCGCGAGAATATGGGAGTAATCTATGGGCTTTGTCCTGCTTTTCCTTTCCCTGTGGCCAGGACGAACATTCACTTTTGAATAAAGGGAATAAATGGAATTCTTTGTATAAAGCAACTAGGGAAACCCAGGATAGAGAACAGGAAGACTGTTTATATGCCAGGAACTCTTGTGTAAATTCCCTTACAGTCAATGCATCTGAATGTTTACAAATGAACAAATGCATCATCTTCGTTTTGTAGGGGAGCATAGTGTGCCGTGCTGTGGTAGTCATGGGAACCAGGAATTCCAACGCCAGTGTCCCGTGTGGGCAATCAGAGCAGCGGGCTGGCCTGTGGGGGAGAAAGCCTAGGCCGTGTTCTGAAGCTCTCTGAACAAGGAGTCGAATGCGTCGGCCAGAAGTGGTTTTGTTTCGCGGCACGCTCGGTGAGGAGTCAGGCGCGGCATGCCAGCTTTCCCCTCATCCCGTTTTCCTTTCTGCCCGCAGACCTGCAACGCTTCCTTTGCCACCCGAGACCGTCTGCGCTCCCACCTGGCCTGTCATGAGGACAAAGTGCCCTGCCAGGTGTGCGGGAAGTACCTGCGGGCGGCGTACATGGCGGACCACCTGAAGAAGCACAGCGAGGGGCCCAGCAACTTCTGCAGCATCTGTAACCGAGGTAATCTCCCTGCGGTCCCCTCACTTCCAGAGGCAGGGCCTGAGCTCGTGTGGGCGGCTGGGGGCTCTGGACCACCCCGCCTCAGACTCCATCCTGCGCACGGCCGGCCTTCCCTTCCCACTGAGTGATAAACGGTCCTCGCCCAGCTAGCTGCTTGCCACCCCTTCCGTCCCAAGAGACTTAGGATGTTTGGAATGGGAGTTCCCAAGAGATCAGCAAGTGGGAACAGGACGGGTATTGTTCCCAAGCTTTGCCCGGGACATCTGCTGCTCAGGTGGCAGGATGGGTGCAGTTGGAGAGACCACGGAAGTGTTGATGTTGGTGAGAGAGTCACTAGACCCCACAGGGGGGAGAAAAAGGGTTCCTGCTTGAGAGCTTGGCTGGCTGGTTCCCTGGCATGTGGAATTCAGCAGCCAGGGAAGGAGGAAGTTGAGTCTAGCGATGGATAAGGATCAGAAAAGAAACTCTGTATGTAGCACAAATGATCAGAAGAAAGCCCAAACCCAGGTAGATTGTGGCCTTGACCAGAAAGGAGCGTGGAAGGTGTTCTGAGCAGGGGAGTGCGCTTGCTGCTGAGGTGGGCCGAGGCGGTTCTGGCTCTGGCCCGGGTGTTGTGTTGGTGAAGTCAGGCCTGTCCTGGGTCTGAGCTTCTGCCAGGGCTTGTCCGTCAGCGGTTGGAAGGGCTGAGGTTTGTGTTTTGCACACGCAGTGTCAGTGGAGGAGGCTGGCGCCACGTCTCTGCTGGAGGAGGTTGGGCAGCTGCCGGTAGTGGGTGTGAGGATGCTTCTGCACGGTGTGCTGGCTCTGGCCGGGTGTGGACTCTGCTGGGAGTCCTGTATCCTGGGACACCCTTGTCTTGATGCTTCTGGAAGTGTTGGGTGTGGCTTAGTGGATTGAGTCCTAAACCAGGAATCAGGGGGGTTTAGGGTTTAAATCCCAGCCGCTTCCACCTCACCCCTCTTCCCTCTAAACATCAGTTTCTTCATCTCTTAAATGGGGTAAGGACCCCTCCGCCCTTGTCCACCTCACAGGGATGTTGTGAGGATCCCGGCACACAAAGTAGATGGAAGTTAACTGAACCCCACATGGTGCTGCACATGTGGGAGGCCCCATTCTTACACTTCGTAACTGTTAGGAAAGACGCGCGGACACCCTGGCTTGGACAAAGCAAAACAAACATCCCTGCTGCCCTTAGCTGGAGTCTCTGGGTGCTGTACTGTCTCCGTGCGCCCCGAGGTCGCTGGTGGGGGAGACTGTGGACAGCTGGGTGTTCCTGCTGCCCCTCCCTGAGACTGCACACTTGGGGTTTGCCTGAAGGCCACTGGGTGTCACTGTCTGCATCACCAAGAAACCTGTAGGAGGTGGTAATAAAAGCTGCTTAAGCATCTGTCCTATTTTCTGACATGTCAACAGAGCCCTTCTGGCAGGAATTTCCCCCGGGTAGCAGGCGGTGGGGTTGTGCATACAGGGAATTATCGGGGTGTAGCTGACCATCTTGACCATGGCTGCCCCAGCTCTAGAAAGTTTTCTGTCTTGTTTCATCCTAATCTGGCTTCCTAACAGCACCCCCAAATAATGCTAAACCTGCCACCACATGCCATCCTCTGGCCTTTTGTCAAGTTTTCAAGGTTGCAGTTCTCAGCCTCAGAACTGCGGTCAGAGCCCAGAAGCAGGAACCAACGGGAGTGGAGAAAGATGCTAATGAGGAAACCCAGAAAGCCTCCCCCGGATTGCAGAGTGGGGTGAGGATGGTGGGAGATCCAGGGCCACAACCCGTGGGGGCTCAGCTCCCCAGGAAAGAAGAGCTGAGAGCAGCAGGGAACAGCAGGGCAAGTTGGCCCAGTTACAAGACAGCTGATGTGGCAAAGCCAACAACTATTGTCCGTGGGGAACTGTTTTTCCTGGGGCTGGGAAAGGCCTTGGGCAGCAGCCCGCAGGCTCCGTGACTGGGATGGAGACAACGAAAGAGTAAAAGTAGAGGCCACCTTATCTCAGAGAAGACAAGACTACATCTGGATCATAAGCTAAACAGCTTTGGGTCAGTCAGAGCAGGAAGTCCCATTCTTCTAAGAAGATAAAAGAGGGCTCTAGTTCAGCCTATCCTGGGTACTCAGAAGGAAGAGAAGAGAATTTCACTTTATGGGAAGAGAAGGAACAGGATTCTACCTCTGGACTCATTTCTTGTGCAGAAAAAGAAAGAGACCCCAACAGGGGGGAAAAAAAAAGGAAAGAACACCAAAGAGGAAGGCAGTTTTTCCAGGAAGAAAATGCCACCAAAGATATCAAGGCACCGGAATCAGAATGCAGAGAGTCTGGGTCATCCTTTGCCCTGCCCGCCACCTGCCACCAAGGCTGTGAATTCAGGGAGGAGCTGAACCAATAAGTGGATGTTCTTAACTCTATAAGGGTTTGAGCAAAGGCTAATGTCCAGCCAGCTGGTCAGATGGTTGAGATTGGATCAAATGAATTTCCAAATGCCCTCTGACATGCTTCAATCCCAATAAGTCTTTTTTTTTTTTAAATTGATTCCGGGGGGGGGGGGGAGGGAGGGAGGGAGAGAGAGAGAGAGAGAGAGAGGGAGAGAGGGAGAGAGGGAGAGAGAGAGAGAGGGAGAAACATCAATTGGTTGCCTCCCACATGCGTCCTAACCAGGGATCGAACCTGCAACCCTTGGAGCATGGGACAGTGCTCCCACTAACTGCACCACACTTGCCAAGGCCCAACAAGTCTTAAGCAGTCAACTTAACTACTAATGGATCTGCCATTTTCAGTCTTTGCCTGTGAAGGATGGAAAGATTAGAGGCAGCCTGGCTGCTCTAGTCCCACACTTGAGCACATGACCTTGTCTTTGTCCTAGAGACTTATCAAGATGCGGGTCAGACCTTCTGGAGAGGAAGATAATTTGTAGTGGGAAGATGGTGAGAAAAGTTTGTCCCCTCATTTTCAAGTTGAGGATATCAGTTAAGTTGATCAGTGGGAGGGAGAAAAGGATCCAGTAGGTCACCATAGTTTTCTACCTTTCTTTTAAAATTTCTGTAGCAGGTTCTTTGTATATATGCATATGTACCAATGTGAGGAAGAGGGGTTGCTTATTGAGAATGTGCCTCTGACAGAGACAACATCTGGTCTCCAACATCACTGCTTAAAAGGTAGAGGAAGTCTTTTCCCAGAGGTGGGCATACAAGTTGTTACCAATGCCAGTCTTGGGCGCAGATGGCCTGCCATTCTCTGAGCTGACACAATCCAACTAGTGCTCCCATCTGGCACCGCTCAGTTGAGTGTGGCCTCTCCAAGGTTTGGACAAGGAGAAAGCGACCCCTGCATGGATGGGAAACTTGCAAAGAAAGGATTTGCTTCTCGAGTGTGAAATGCAGCGCGACAGACAAGGAAACGCAGTGGAGGAGCAGGGTAGCCCTTTGGCAATGAAATCTTCATCTCTAGAATGTGAGGGAGGGCGGCTTGGTGGTTGTAGTGGAGTCACGTGTGTGCTCAGTGTCTCCATCCTTCTGGTGCCTGGATCCAGCCGCCTTGTTGGTTCTTGGTTAATCAGAGGTGAATGGGCAGGTGAGTTCAGAATTCCAACTAAATGTTTCTGACTTAAAAGATGTTTTCTTCTCAGAAACTCAGCTTCTGTTTTAGCTCAACAGTTGGCTGCTGAGTTGCTCTGTGTTTAAATTCTGGGCTTCACGTGGCAGCTGTAGATCCACTCCTCCCACCCTGCCATGTGGTTCTGCTATATATAGTGCTGTCTGCAGCCGGGTAAAGTCAAGAGGACCCAGCCATGTGTTACTCAGCCCGTTTTTCAGGAAAAATAAGCAAGTTCTCATTGAGCATCTGCTGGATTCCCCTGGTACATAGCTCTTTCCAGAAGGAGTGACTATACTAATTCCTGGTGCCCCTTCCTTCCTTTCCCCTCCCCTTTTACTGCCGTGGACCTGCCTGGGGACACCACACCACCGCAGAGGCCTCTCCAGGGATGAAAAACAAAGAAAAAATTTCCCTTCTACAGTGGCGGCATCGTATCATCAGAAAGTCCCTGATATCTATGCTTTGCTGAGTAGGGGGCTGAGATCCTCTTTCCCATGAGCCTCTTCGACTCATTCCTGACTACATCCTTCCTTTCAGGAATGTTCATAAGATAAGCCAGTCTTCCCTGTAACTGGCCCCAGGCAGACCCCTCGTCACAGCACAGGACAGCTCGCTCTGCCAGGCAGGGCAGGACACTGGCCCCTGGCCCAAGTGGGTCTGTGAAGGAGCTGTGTCAGGAAAGGAAGGAACCTTCACTCAATCCCCCATTTCCTCCAGAGCCACCAAGCACTGTTGTCAGGGGAGTGTTTGTTAAATAAGCTTCCCACACGTCAGTGGCTTCCATTCTAATGGAAGAGAGATACATGACTGTAAATGGTGATCACGAAACCGACTGCAAAAGTCCAAGGGATGTTTCTAGGGCCAGGGCCAAGACACAGGAACCATTAACAAGAGTCTGCCCCACCTAGCTGGTGTGGCTCAGTGGTTGAGCATTGACCTATGAACCAGGAGGTCACGGTTCGATTCCTGAGTTGCAGGCTTGATCCCCAGTGTGAGGTGTGCAGGAGGCAGCCGATCAGTGATTCTCTCTCATCATTGATGTTTTTATTTCCCTCTCCCTTCCTCTCTGAAATCATAAAAATATATTAAAAACAAACAAAGAGTCTGCCCAGTGGTTAAGGACCACGTGGCCCTGGGGTTGGAGTCCAGGCTCTGCCATTTGGTAGCTGTACCTGTGACTGCAAGTTGCTTAACCTCACCAAGCCTCTAATTTTGTAATCTATAAAATAGGTA